ATGAGGGCAATGAATGTACAAATGTGCTTTACACAATTGATATTTGTATTGATTGTAATAAGAGTTGTATAAGCGCCCAATAAAATGATTTTTAAAAAAGAATGGAATCCTGTCCATCCATGTGGGATTTACGAGAGCTAGACACTGTACAAAGGAGCCCTGGTTTGGCGCTGTCGAATAAGCATTGGACTGCTCATCACAAGGTCTGTAGTTCAAACCCACTGTGGTTCAAACCCACTGTGGTTCAAACCCACCAGCATGGTATAAAGTTGACACTATTTTCTCCCACACAGATTTACAGTCTCAGAAACTATATATAGATCACTTGGTTAGCATTGACTCAGTAGCAGTGAGCTTGGTTTTTTTTTAGAGTTTGAGAGACAATAGATGTTATAAGACCAACTGAAATGAGGACTGTTTTGATGATCTTGCAGTATTTTCATGTAGGCCAGATTCTTCTTGATATTCGGAATGCTGTTTACTTTAGTTGTCATTTTCTCCTTGTACAGCAAAAAGAGAACAAATGGAACATTTAAGGGAAATTTGTGTTCCAAGTGAACATTTGTGGTAACACTCTGATCTGTAAAGTTAACCCTATATGGTAAATAAACACTTGAATTTCACTTTGAATTAATTTGGTGATAATCAGGTGAAAAGATTTAAAAATTAACTCCTATTTACCTTTTCTGTTTACTAACACTACCACTAAACAAAAATTATTTTTATTTTTTAAATGCGAGGATAACCAAACAATTTTTGGCTCTGAATTTTTGTCTTATCATTGCTCTCCATGACAAATGTTCAGATCACGTTGCCTGTGAAGAGGACTTTGCCTGTCCCCAGTGTGAGTCGAGTTTTGCCAACGAGGAGATTCTTGCCGAGCATCTTCAGATGCTGCATCAGAAGCCTAGAGAAGAGAAAGAATGTAAATGCAAGAGCTGTGGGAAGAGATTCCCAGTGAAGCAGGCTTTGCAAAGACAGTGCGTACATTCATGATTATCTTTAAGAATATACACTATGTGTACATTAATGAACATCTTTAAGAATATGCACTAATTTTTCTTCACAATATTGCATGTGGTTTGTCTTACAGCTTCAGTGTATGTGTGTGCGTGTGTGTGTGTGTGTG